ATGCAATATTCTACATGAAATGGAAATAAAAAATGAATTTACATGCATATTTGATAGATTTAATTGTCTGAGAAATGGAACTCTTGCTGCTATCCGAATAATTTATTAATAAATTCCACATGGCATTGTGATACTGTATCTTATTATGTTGTCATTGGTGTCATCTTTAAAGAAAAAAATACCCAAAACACAATTCAGAAATGTGTAGGTCTTTTTTCAGTGTGCGAATTGTTGCATGTTTAAATGATCGTAAAGGAAAGGTAAGCTAGACTAGTAACTATTATAATTTAAATAAATATACGAATGGCTAAGTTAAGTGTTTTTGTCATTCGATGAGATCTTTATTATTATTCCGTGTATCTAATACCGTGTATCAAATACTAATAAAATAGCCTACTAGGCTACTTCCGCTCTGCACAGAAGACTTACAGGAACGGCGCGAATTTCTGAGGTGAAGGTTAAATCAAGACAAATTATATCAACGTTTTATGAAATTAGTATATTAGTGATAAAACATTAATGTGAAGAAGGTTAACTTAAAAGAAAACTAAGAGAGATAGCAGACCCAACATTTCCGCTCTTCAGTTTCTGCAGGACACATGGTAAATGGTATAAATTAAGAAACTGTAATTAAATGAAATCAGAACATATTAGTATAATTTTATATAGCTTGTTTTGTTTTTTTACATACGTCTTTTCAATAGTATGTTTTGTAGCTGATGTGTTAAAAGTATGCGGTAATATTCTACATTTTAGAAGATAATTTTACATCATTTCTAAGCATTAGGCTACATACTTCAATGTATTCAATGGGAACTTTCATAGGAGGAGCGACCCTGGCCATGGGTCTGGAATTAATGGGGGATTGGGGCAAAAATGCCACCAAATTGGACAAATATGCCCCCGTACTATTAAACTAAATATATTAAGGATGTCACCAATAAAGGGAAAATGAAATGAAAAATTGCAGCATTAAATTTAGATCTGCTAATGATTCATCAAATTATGTGTTTTTACAGCGATCCGCATTATATCCAATCACACACGATTCTGTTGAGCTTATGAATGCAATGGCCAATCAGAGGCGTTCAGATGAGTCATCGCTGAAAGGCCGAGTTGTGTTAGGCGCGCAGTACGCTGACTGAATTCTAAACTCTCGCGAATTCTTTCATCAAAAAGAACAAGGTGGAAATGTAGGTACGATGTAAGTAAGAGATTCATTTGTCATTGTAGGCACCTTTATTGATTATAACGGGAGTTTTTGAGCGTGCTTAAACTCGCGCTAGACTGAAGTCAGTCAACATGTTCTTTGATAATGTAATGTTCTTTGCTTGCTTTTTCTATGTAATTTATGTGCTATTTGAATAACCGTGGAAATGAAAGCGTTATAATTACAATGTTTTTATTAAATTATGATCACATTATATAGCTACAAATTCAGTCGTATTAAAAATATTTGACACCCGTAGGCCTAGCAGGTATGAAAGCCTTTTTCCGCAACTGAATAATAAAAAATAATAATTGTACAGAATTAGCTACGAGATATAAATTCACAATTGCGAGAGAGTACAAATTGTAAAAAGTCGCAATTACCTTGTTTTATTTTTATTCAGCGGGTAGGCTATATAGCGTGACCCTGGTCCACAAAACCAGTCATAAGGGTAAATTTTTTTTAAATTGAGTTTCATACATAATCTGAAAGCTGAATAAATAAGCTTTCCATTGATGTATGGTTTGTTAGGATAGAACAATATTTGGCTGAGATACAACTATGTGAAAATCTGGAATCTGAGGGTGCAAGAAAATCTAGATATCGAGAAAATTGCCTTTAAAGTGGTCCAAATGAAGTTCTTAGCAATGCATTTTACTAATCAAAAATAAAGTTTTGATATATACAGTGGTGTGAAAAAGTGTTGGCCCCCTTCCTGATTTTTTATTTTTTTGCATGTTTGTCACACTTTAATGTTTCAGATCATCAAACTAATTTAAATATTAGTAAAAGATAACACAAGTGAACACAACAAGCAGTTTTTAAATGAAGGTTTTTATTATTAAGGGAAAACTAAATCCAAAACTACATGGCCCTGTGTGAATAAGTGTTTGCCCCCTAAACCTAATAACTGGTTTGGCCACCCTTAGCAGCAACAACTGCAATCAAGCGTTTGCGATAACTTGTAATGAGTCTGTTACAGAGCTGTGGAGGAATTTTGGTCCACTCATCTATGCAGAATTGTTGTAATTCAGCCACATTGGAGGTTTTCGAGCATGAACCGCCTTTTTAAGGTCATGCCACAGCCTCTCAATAGGATTCAGGTCAGGATTTTGACTAGGTCACGCCAAAGTCTTCATTTTGTTTTTCTTCAGGCATTCAGAAGTGGACTTGCTGGTGTGTTTGGGATCATTGTCCTGCTGCATAACCCAAGTGCGCTTGAGCTTGAGGTCACAAACTGATGGCCGGATATTCTCCTTCAGGATTTTTTGGTAAACAGCAGGATTCATGGTTCCATTTATCACCGCAAGTCTTCCAGGTCCTGAAGCAGCAAAACAGCCCCAGACCATCACACTACCACCACCATATTTTACTGTTAGTATGATGTTCTTTTTCTGAAATGCAGTGTTACTTTTACGCCAGACGTAATGGGACACACACCTTCCAAAAAGTTCAACTTTTGTCTCGTCAGTCCCACAGAGTATTTTCCCAAAAGTCTTGGGGATCATCAAGATGTTTTCTGGCAAAACTGAGACGAACCTTTATTTTCTTTTTGCTCAGCAGCGGTTTTCGTCTTGGAACTCTGCCATGCAGACCATTTTTGCCCAGTCTCTTTCTTATGGTGGAGTCATGAACACTGACCTTAACTGAGGCAAGTGAGGCCTGCGGTTCTTTGGATGTTGTTGTGGGGTCTTTTGTGACCTCTTGGATGAGTTGTCGCTGTGCTCTTGGGGTAATTTTGGTCGGCCGGCCACTCCTGGGAAGGTTCTCCAGCGGGAAGGGGGCAAACCCTTTTCCACACCATTTTACAAACAAAAAAAAAAAAAAAACATACAAAAATGTATTTGTATTTTTGTATTACTAAGGGAAAACAGGTGACTCTTTGACTTTGAATGGATTAAAGCACCTATGGGCACTTTAACTTTATTTTTCAAAACAAACAAAAAAAGGCCCACCAGCTGTCTCAAAATTTTTTTATGTATTGTATTTTTTTCACACATACTGGTTAAAAATGTATAGCCTGAATGCACTGTTAGTCGCTTTGGATAAAAGCGTCTGCTAAATGCATAAATTATTTAATTTATGTATTTACGGTAGGAAATTTACAAAATATCTTCATGGAACATGATCTTTACTTAATATCCTAATGATTTTTGGCATAAAAGAAAAATCGATAATTTTGACCCATACAATGTATTGTTGGCTTTTGCTACAAATATACCCCAGCGACTTAAGACTGCTTTTGTGCTCCAGGGTCACATATATGCTTGCCTAAAAGAGAGGGGTTATGATGTGTGTGTTAATAGGATTACATTAACATTAGGCACACATTTAGCCATTCACCCTCCGCCTACGGGCACTTTAACTTTATTTTTCAAAGCAAACAAAAAAGGCCCACCAGCTGTCTCAATTTTTTCCCAGTCCATTTGCATCCTCGGTATATTTACATGGCAAACAACACATATGAAACACACAAAGCTTCGGGAAAATACTTAAGCTCTCAGCAAACACAGACATTCAATCATCTCTATTGTTGTTTTTTAGACATTTCCCAGACGCACACCCACTGAGGGCTGAAAAACCATTCACCAGCTTAACATGTAGTGATGCTCTTATTCTTTTGGGGGAGGTGTTTTGTGCCACCTGTTTTCCCCTTTGCCATCTATTCCAGGGCACTTGATTTCCCTTCACCCATCATTAGAGATTGGAAGCCTAATTAAAAGCTTAATTGCACTTACAGTGGAGTCCTGTGTGGCCATAAAGCTGTTAGGATTGTCAATTGATGATTAATCGTGTCCAAACATGCCACATAAAGTCTGGATCCTGTCAGAAGCATTATTTACGCCTGAGTGTTTTGGCTCACAAATAAACACCTGGGAAGGTGACTCTTTTTTCCTTATGATTAGTGTGGTTAAACCAGGCAGAGCAAATGTGCATACAGTCAATGATCATAACACTGCCCTGTCTGTAAAATTTAGTTAAGACAGTCTCTTAGGAAACCTGTTGGGCACTTATTTCTGCTCCGATTATTATTGTGATGATAATCATGGTGATTGTCCCCGCTGAGCTAGTGACCCAGAACACAGTGATAGAGTTAAAGTGACGAAAACACATGGATTTGAAAGTTGGAACTACTTTTGAGTAGATTGATGGATGAGCTTCATGCCAACACACAAACGCACACATTAGCGGACTTAGGCTTGCAGGTGTAGACGTACTTAAAATGTGTACAAACAAGTGCGATTTTGAATCATTGCACTAATTGTAATATTTTGTGTGTTCTTAATCTTTTATTTAAACCTGGCAAACAGGTTTGTTAATCTTATGGATGTTGTGCCATTTACAATTTTGATCTTAAAGTTTCTGTGACTTTTTATTTCACGTGTTTACATTTCTAAACAAATAAATGGAAATAAATACATTTAAAATAACATTGTCACGCTTTAATTTACACAAGTCAACAAAAACAACACTACATAAAAAAGGACAAAGAAATCAATCATCAGTCTTATAGCTTTTATACAGATGTCACAAACACAACGTCATCTTGGCACTTTATATAATTCATAAAAACGTTAGTTTCTAAGAATGTAAAATTAAAGCACATAAGCAATAATACATTGCCCAATTAAAATGCTATATTGTTTCAAGATACAAACATGTCAAGTGGAGAAAAAGGACAGGGACATGAAACTGCTCATAGAGATTTAACTTGTGCATTGTAAATTCACAAATGTTTAGTGAATATTCAAATATATTTTTAAAGTCTCTTTAAAAAGTCTTGTGTTTGTCACTTCACTTCTATATGTATAGTCGTCTCCATATTCTGTGGGTTCACTCTGAGAAAAGATGAAAAAACATTTGCAATAATATGTCAAAAATATGAGTGCAAAAGAGAAAATATAAAATGTTAAATCAGGAAGAGCAAAATTATGGGAGGAAATATGGCTATGTCAGGAAAATCAGGAAAGAAGTGGGTTTCTCAGTGGCTCAGAAACGGTTTCGAACAGATTAATCGATGCGCAGGACTGGATGGTAGGCTACCAGGAGCATCCCATTATATCATCAGTCAGGGACATCATTATCGATTGTCAAGTTACCTTAATAAATTTAGCAGACATATATATTCACATGGATTTATGAGGAGCTAGAGCAAACAGCAACGCAAAAATATGAGTCACAGCCTAATAATGCAATATTGTGTTCGGTATTAGGATTTTTCAATAAAGATATTGTACTAATTTTGACATTTAGGCACTTTAGAAAATGTGTTTAAATATATTTGTATGAAATAGGTTTGCTAAATCTATGGTATTTAAGTCATCTTAAGATAAATAACTTTCTGTGCTAACAAATTGCAATGAGGTGGTTGTTTTACAACAAGGTGGACACAGTTCTATTCATAGCAGTAGACCTGCTGGTGAAGAAGGGACAGAAGAAAAGGGAGAGACAGAGACATTGGGGAAAATTAAGGTTTAGTTCATGAGACAACCTTCAATTATTTTCCACGGCCCCAGACTAAAGATTAGACCTTTTTATGTGATGGCCATACAAATAATAAGGTCGTCTGTGGTTTTCTAATTTGTTGTGGGTGTATAGGATGGCCTGGATGAGTTGTGAGATTTCCCGGCCTGAAATTGCATCCCGGCCATGTCTGTGTGACGTACCCCACAATCCAAAGACATGCAGCATAGGTGAATTGGAGTTTTGAATGTGTGTCTGTGTGTGTGATCTGTGGCCCTAGATACTGAAAGTGGTTTAGAAAATCTTACAAAGACCAGAGATGACCGAACACCTGAGAAGAGACGATGCCAACCCCCAGACAACATAGAAAACCCCCCCACATTTTGCTATAAGTTTGATCGCAACATATAATCATTGCTGTTAATAGTGTTCACCATCTGTTTGATTACATGACATTAACTAACTGCTTGATTTTTACCGTACATTCCTGCCATATGGACATCAACTTGAGATAGTCCACTGATAAGCTATTACTAAATATAATGTAGAAACTTGAATTTTCTGTAAAGCTGCTTCGCAACTATTTGCATCATGTGCTATGGATGGATGGAAAAAAGATGAGGACTTTACTGGCCAAATCTAACTGACGTCAGACCAGCACCACATCCTTTGACCCTGGAAATGTCATGACCTTTCCAGTCATTCATCATTACTGGATAAGGATTTCATGTATTAATATATATAGACATAGCTGTTTAGAAATACTTTACAAAGATTACATTTTTACTGTCAGGCTTAAATTCCTGTTATTTTCAGCTTTTCTATGAGAAAGTGCACGTGTGAGTGTGTGATAGATTTACCCTTTACTCTTGCAGCATGGTATTCTCCAGACTTTAATCATAACGGTGCTTCTGAGTGCAGTACAGCCTCTGATGTACAGTAAAGGAGTGGTGACTGCATTGAGACGTGCCAAAATGCGCAGGGGGTCTGTGCCCTCATTTCTGAACATATAGCATGAAGTCCCCGCAAAATTACACACAATAACATGCAGAAAAAGAGGTAACCACGCGATCAGAAAACACACGGCTACTATTATGATGAGATAAATGGAGGCGCGCTTGTTGTCGCGTTCCTCGCTCGCCGGTTCGCGTCCTAGCTGAAATTTAGCGATGAAGAACAGTCTGAGGTTCAACCCAATCATGATAATGATACTGAAAATGTTCCCCACAAAAGCAGCCAGGAACGTGACTCTTTTAGCAACCCCCAAAGTAACCAAATTATTAACAGCCGCTATCAGAAAACCATAAACCCAGTAGGCCAGAATCACCAGAAGGGTTCTGTTTCGAGTCATGCGCTGCGAGTATTTGAAAGGCGCTGAGACCGCGTGGTAGCGGTCCGCTTGCGCGGCCAGAATCGCCATATAGGACAGACCCAGAAAAGTGAGGGCGATGTAGAAAGTGCGAGTCGGGGAGTCATAATAATCACGTACATCCATAACTCCAGCATAATAATACGAGACGCCCGTGCAGATGTCACTGAGACACGTGCTGAGCATGTACATGAAGCGGTTCTCGCTGCGCAGGGATCTGTTCATCACGATGGAGACAAACACAGACGCGTTGATAAAAATAATGGCAGTGGCTAGAATTACATTGAAGAGGAACAAAAGCACGTTCTCGAAACTAGTAAGAGGCAGCACTGTGCCGAGACCCGCACTACTCTCAGAAATATTCATGAGTGATGAGAGTATCATTGCATGCACATGGATGGAGAGCGCAATGATGATGATACTATGAATGAACGCTGAGGATGAGAGCGCGCGAGTGAACGCAGACACGCGTGCGGGGCGTTTTTAAAATGAGGAGGACTGTCACGTGGCAGGTTCCTGGAAAAGGTTTCAGCCTTTTTTTCTAATTAAATGTGCGCGTATCGAGTTTATCAAACAATAGAATCATTGATGTGATGCGTAGAAACTATAAAATGCACAATTCAAACAAAAATGACTCCAGTAAAGCTCTTTTACATTTTTTTTTTAATTTAAAGGGGTCATATGATGCGATTTCAAGTTTTCCTTTCTCTTTGGAGTGTTACAAGCTGATTGTGCATAGATAAGATCCCTGAAGTTGCAAAGACTAAAGTCTCAAAACCAAAGAGATATTCTTTATCAAAGTTAAGACTCTGCCACGCCCCCCTAAAACGGCTCGTTCTAACACGCCCCCACATATCTACCTCACTATGTGGAAATATTTGC